TGGAAGTCAGTGCCGTAAGTTCTTATTACTCTTTTCTTCGATATCTAGTCCTCATTTTTCGGGCGATCTTTGAAAAAATTAAAATATGACAAGTTGTGTTGTTTGAACGATAATTCGAACGGTAATTTGGTATGCCAAATTACCGTTCGACAGCGGTAATTTTGCCGTGCCTTGTTATCGCGTAATACTTTTTCGGGAAGTTACAGTGGAGGAACGCGTGATCATCACTTTTGAATCAACTATTTATATTCTCACGGTCAAATGTTGTCCTACAACGCCAGATTTTTGAATTCCTTACAGTTTACCTCGCAGAAACATCAGTTTCTTATTTTTGCCCATTCTGTGAGAAATCGCTACAAAGGACTGCAAAATTCTGGTCAAGGACACCATAAAAAACACCGTGCTGGCTGGCGTGTGGCGCTTAGGCGGCGTTCTGTTGATAATTTGACCGTTCCATCTATTATCTCATGTAACATTCGTTCGCTCATGGGAAAACTCGATGATGTCAGGAGCATGATACACCAGAAGGAATGCAAGAATGCAGGGGCCATTGTACTCCAGAAAAACTGGATACAGCCTGATATTGAGGACAACGTCGAGCACCTTGATGGATTTGACATATTCCAAGGCGACCGTAATGTGAACTTCCTTCACAGAGGTGGTAGAGTAGTCAGGAAATGGTGCGAAAACGCTCGTAAATGTTTTCAATATAATACTGCCAAGATAAATTGTATTTCTGTTTATTGTAAGCCCCTATTTATCAGTCACTTTCATCATATTAAATTAGAGAACATTTACATCGCTCCTGACACGCCTGTCTCTGATATTCGTCTGTTTGTCGACTCCTTTTCTTTACAACTTATAACCGGTTTAGACCAGTCTTTATACATTGCTGCTGGTGATTTTGATCGTTTTAATATATCTTTCCTTACAACTTTAGGCTTGACGAATCTTGTAAATTTTCCTACCCGGCTTGGTATTCAACTTGGCGGGATTCTTGTAAATCGCCCCGATATCTTTTTCATTGCACCCTGAGATTTACGGTAAATATTTTCAGCACCATATAAACCGTTCCACATCGAGAGGAACTCCACACCATCTTTATTTACATCTGGGGAGAACCAATCTGTCACCCCTGTGGAAGTCGTGAATGTACTCAAGTCCCCCAAATCTAACAAAGTACACGACCCTGATTCGTTGTCTCCCTTCCCACCGAAAGAGTATGCTAAACAACTTGCTTCACCTATTTTCAAGTCGTTCAATTTGTGTATGTCATCTGGAAGCATCCATGATTATTGGAGAGCTGCTCGGATAACCCCAATTCCCAAAACAGGATCTTCCAAATATCGACCGATTGTCTGCACATCAGCATTATTGAAAGTTTTCGAAAGAGTCCTTAACCGGCTGACCCTTTTATCTGTCACCCGTGACCCTATTCAGTTTGCATGCAAACATTCGTTTTCCACTCTTGATGCTGTTGCTCACGTTGTTCACTCCGCTTCATCCTTATTGAATAAAGGGGCTGGCATCGTCCGTTTGACTTTTCTTGATTATTTAAATGCTTTCGGATCACTTGACCGCGGCATTCTCATTCCACGTCTTTCGGACTGTGGTCTGGCATCTAATTTACTGAATGTACTAATTAATTACTTCGCCCATCGGACGCAATACACTTTTTGTATCGGTAAATCTTCCTCCCTGCTAGAAGTTAACTCTGGAGTTTTTCAGGGTGCAATTTTGTCTCCATTTCTTCTTTCACTGTATCTTACGGACCTTCCCATCCCTCCCAACTTTATCGCCTGCAAGTATGCTGATGACGTGGTGGTCGGCTGTCCCTCAACTGTTCCCGATTGTTTCTCTCAACTTCAAGTTTATCTCAATAACGTTTTTAGTTGATCGACTCCCTGAGCTTTATTGCTAAATGTAGATAAATGTGTGGATGTTTCTTTTAGCCTTAAAACAGGTATGCCTTATCAAACCCTTCTGAATAATCAGCCTGAACTTTCTGTTAATGGTAATACCCTCCTCAAAGCTAACTCTGTGAAATAGCTTGGAGCTACTTTGTCACACAATCTTTCTTAGTCCAGACATGTTGAAAACATTTATATTCGCGTTCGTAAACTATCATTCTACGCCTTTAGGCTTAAAAAGCTCGGCGTTCCCTCAAATGTAATTCTTAAATTTGTGACTGCTTGCATTCTTCCACATTGGTTGTACTGTTCCCCCGCATATTTTCCTGGTCTGAAGGAGAAAGACTTTTCTTTTCCAGATCTCTTAAACTTCTTTCTCGTTGCGGCGGCATTTCAAAGACCGTTTTGGTTGACTTTATTGTGAGCAAGCATTTGGACTCANTTATGAGCTATATCCTGTCCAACGAAGAACACTGCCTGCAATCCCATCTCAATAAATCGGTCTCTCATCCGAGTACCCGTTCCCAATTTCGGATTCTTTATGCACGCACCACCACACATAAAAACAGCATGGTCCCTTGTTTTGCTCTCATCTTGGTCAATCGAGCAAATATTATAACTGACCTGAGCAATCATCTGTCACATTAGGCTTTTATCTAATCCGTTTGTTTTAAATATAGTAAATGTATATTTCTTCTTTTTTCCAATGCTTAATGTTTTCCTCACTAATTGGTCGAAGATGCTGAAAATTCATCCTATCGGGTGCATAAAGCTTTACTTTACTTTACTTGACTACTGTGTTATTAAAAATATCTGATCATGAACACTATTTTGCAAGTACTTTGTGTTCGCTTCAGTTTTTGTGAGTGTTGATTACTTATATTTTCTTTTCCTGCAGTAAAAATGTGATCTTGTTTTCCGGTCCATGGTTTGTGGGTCCCGCGGCTATTGATCATCTACCGACGCGTATGTTCTATCCAAAAGAAGTATTCTTGACAAGTGCGGAGCATGCCACACATGCTTTGGCCTCTGCCACGGGAAAATGCTTCGTGATGCGTCCTGCTGACTACTGTCAAGGTCGGTTCATTGTCTGGAGGCTATTAAGATAGTTTTTTTTCCGTTGTAATCATTCAACCAGAACTTTCAGACAGTTTGTTTCCCGAGACCATTGTTTAAACCTGTTTCACCCGAAACTCTGATCGCATGTTATCTTTCTATCCATTACTCAGCTCGTCCAACGGAATACAATGAACACGATGTTTACATGTGTGATTCGAAGTATTTCGAGGAGGAGAAGGTTATACGCAAGCTAAAGAAAGGTTTAAAAGTGAGTGACTTCTCTTAAAGAAGATAGTTTGTATCTTTTATTGGTCCATCATGCAAAGTCAGTCCGATCGCAGTTTTACTCCACTCAGATACTCTTACATGGCATAGTCACAAATAAACGCGGAAGCTCTGATTTGGAACACAAGTCCGAAGGCGAACAATTGTTTTCGAATGATTGATAATAGTGCCTGTACAAATCATATAAGGGTTTGTTGTTAATGGGGACACACTTTGGACTTGAAAAATGTCATGTCTGTGTTTAGTGCTGTGATTTACTGTTGACGTTCGATTGGATTACTCCCGGGTTTCCTATTTGGATACTGATCGTTGTTGTTTTGTACAATAAGGTGTACTCTACTGATGTGATTCTTTTACTACCGTTTTTCCTTTCAGCGTTTCTCACTATCAGCAAGTTGTTTTGAAGATGAATTCTTTTTCTTCCCACAACCTATCTGTCCACGAAAGGTATGTTAGTGTAGCCTGTTTTTGTGCTGCATAACTTGGTTTTTAACTGGACTGGGTTTTGGCTATGTTCTCGATTTCGTAAATCTTGTTCCAGTGGGATTGTTTTGAAAGATTCACATCATATGTATGTCTGCGACGAGCGAATCAAATTCCATCCAGATCTCGACATCATGCTATGGAGAAGAATACCCATTTGTATGGTTGAATGTGCATGGGTTAAAAACTCAGTATACAACATGTGTAAGATTTGATTCTGCTTGTGTAGGAAAACAAAGTAATCATCATTAGCTAACAACAATTACTGAGCCTAACTGCACTGTATACTTGAGTGGTCAGATCTGAGTGGGTGCACGATTTTTCTTTATTCGTTTTTGTCTGTTTTGCCCAAACTGGTTACAGGATCCCACGCCTCGGTGAAACTCCCGGCTTGTCTTTTCGAGCAGAATTGAACATTAAGTACACAGTACATACGTTCGTCTCATGTCCGTCATTTACTGATTAGTGTTGCAGATTGCTTCGCCAATAGCTTATGAAAATCCGAGTCAGGCAAGAACTGACCGATTCTGTGCCGTTCACTGATGACCACCTAGCTGATGCGGAAAACACGGCGCCATCTTGTGGTGGAATTGTCTCTAAGGTCCACGCAGTGGTTCAATACCAGCTCATTGATAACAAGTTCATATATTGTAGCAATTTGCCCTTCGATTCTTTTTGTAATTCATCATTTCACGCATCTAGCCTATATGCCTGTTTACATCGCTAAGGGTACGCGTGGGTGAATGATAGACTGTGGTATTAATCGAATAATTAGTCACCACTTACTACATGTCTTCCCCTTAAGTTTGCTCTCAACATTCTTATCTTCATTCTGCACTTTTATCCAAATGGGCGGCCAAAAGACAGTAACCGAAACCGGCGCACGAAAGTGCATGGTTAATGGTTGTGAAAACTAAAACTGAAACCTCTACACTCGGTCATTTTATAACACCTACTAGTCGAGACAGATAAACATTAGTCTCACTCGCAAACCTGTTACGATTAGTGGACTTATAGACGCATAAACATCACACAGGCTCTCGGAAAGATGTCAATCCCAATATCTCATTAATTTCGCTTACGTTTGACGAGTATGCACCTACGCTTTCCACACTATTGTTCCAAACATCACACAACAAAATAAGAGGTTGATTTTAATTCCCAAACTTCAGACATTCCTTTTTCTTTATTGCAATATGCGAGACNCACAAAAGAACTGTTAAACTGTCGTATTGAGAACGAATTCATTCAGGTCTCTGAAACCACAAAATGTCCCCAGCGATGCGTTTGGTTTCACCTATATCTGAGAGTGCACCTTCTCAATGTGCGTAACTTGGTACATTTCTTTGGACTAAAGCGGCCAGTTTGTAATGTGTGATTCGGTACGTTCTTCCATCGTCAATTATAGGAAGGTTCACCACTTTTGGCTCAAGCCTCTTCGGAACCGCTTATTCAAGAGCAGTTGAATCGTCCGGCTTCATCTGCCTTGACTTGTGCTTTGGCTGCTGCAACTGGTGCTGTTACAGCTCCTCAAACGGTGAATGTCCCCGCTGCTCCGGTTCACATTCCCACGCCCACTGTGGATTTAAATGCTGCTAGGCCATCTGCAGAATCCATTCCAGTAGTGGTCACTTCGGCTGTTGCTGATACGGGACCTATGGATACGGGTGCTACTGTTGTGCGCGCTTCTGTTGGGGCTGCTGGACTTGTTCCGACTACTCCCAACCCAGTGGAATTTGATCCGAATTCGGTTGTGCACCAGTCAAACCGGACTGGTCGACGTGTGAGTTGATGCAATGCTCTTATAGGTCATCGCATATAATCTACCACGCATAAGTTCTTGCGAATCAGCAGTCATTCTGCGGTTAGTTTTGCCGTTTTCATTCGTTCATTTGATTTGTTCATTATCGATTGAATCGATTTTATTGATGATTCCAATAATGTTACTTCTACTTTTTTTGCGATGCAATAATTGTGCATTCTTTACTCTGGAAAGGAGCTGTGGCCGATCAAAGACTGACAGACAAATAGTAACACGGGCCGAAAGTGACGTGGTTCGAACTATGAGATTGTTCCACTCGACCACTGTGCTAGATGATTTTTTTTAGGATGCTGCTACTTTCCACATCAAGTATATTTTACATGGCAACTTTAACTTGCTTCTGGCAGTTTGAAATACATCTCAATGTGGTCATTTACTCAAGGTGCTGGCCTTGATCGTTTAGATCGGGGATCAGGGATTCAACTCCCAGCCTAAATGTTCGAGTTCCGCTAAAAATAATAAGTACACACTGTTGACGAGTCCCAAGAAAAACAAAATTGTCTGGCGCTCTTTGTCCTCGATCACACAGTAATCCCTATCCCCAATGAATGGTATTTCACATGTGGGAAGTTAACAACCTCCCGGTGAGTGAAATCCCCGCCCAAAAGGACATGAATATCATATACAGCACCTGGCATCCACAGATTTGATTGAACTGACCCAAACAACAGTCCAAATCTATACCTCAAAGCTGTTTGTTGTCAGAGATTCATGCATCGATTGTAACCCGTATGATTGAATGTTTTTAACTAATCCTATTCATTTGTCTTGACTGGACTTGGCTTGACTTCATTCTTTCTAATTTGCTTTAAGCGCAAACTGCGAAAGCCTCCATCTGGTTATGTTCTTTACGCTGGTGAAGTGCGCAAACGTCTTCTACAGGAGCGCAAAGATGCTCCATTCGGAGAGATATCTCGAGAAGTTGGTCTCCTGGTAAGTTTTGGTGTATCTGTTCATTTGTAACGCAGTGACCAATAGTAGTTTTGGTTTAAAATTGCCTGTTTGGCAATGCATCCGTACTTACAGTCATCAAAATGGCGTTTTTCTCGTGTTCACCGTGATCTATTCCACTTGAATAAGTCTTTGGGTGATTCCCTCATTCCATTAAAGTTTGAACGTATTTCCCACACTGGTGCTGAGTCCGGGACCTTTTTCTACTATTTTATGTGATATCGTACTTATACAACCGTCTGTAATTTATCTTCTGTTACCTTACAGTGGCGACAAATGCCCTCTGCAGAACGGGACCTATATGAGCGCAAAGCCGAGGTGATTCGGGATCGTATGAAGGCTGAAGAACAATTAGCCAAAGCTGAGGAACAAGCTAAGTTGCAACAAATGGCTGCGTCCAATTCGATGACTAGTGAAGATAGGATGGGATCTGCTGTGGTTCGCACACAGTCTGGCACTCTTCCTACTGGTCAGCCGGTAGCACTTCCATCACAAATAGTCTCCGCACCAACTGCTAATCTACCTCATCCCGGAGTGCCAGTCGGTGCAACGCCACCCCAAGCCCCGGCAACCATGCAGTTCTATCAAACTCCCTCCGGTCAGGTGATTCAAATTGTTCACACACAACCACCCAACCAACCGCAGCCGCAGACATCTGTCAATGTCACTTTCAGTCAACCTAACTATCCGAGCGTAGCATCGATGTCTGCAGCGGGTCCTGTTGGAGCCGGACCACATCAGGCAAGTAATTCAATATATTCTATTTTTGCTGCTTTCTCTGGTTTCTAAGAAAAGTCATGGAAGAATTTCGTAAAACCTCAATTCTGTTCATCAGCCACTATCTGACAGAAATGTGCCTCACCCGTCTCACAGTGCCATGGGTTAG